ACTTTTTCTCCCAGGGTCATCATGGGGATTAAATCAGCTTTAATACACGGAAGAAGCTAGCACACAGTTAGTGCAAGCTCAGAGAGCCAAATGACCTGCACAGGCCACATGACACAGGGGATGAAGTGAGGCCCAGGCCTGGACACCAGGCCCCTCCCTGCCCTTTCCCAACCCCACCCGCAGCCCTTTGCAGCTTAGCAAGGGCAGACAGCTGTCACCTCCCCTCCAACTCCCCCCGCCCCAGCAGTTCTCCCCACTGCAGAGGCAGATGCTCTGTGGGGAATTTTTTCCCCCAGGCTCTAAGGAATGTTATTTTCCCCTCACTTGGTATCTAGATGACTCCATTTCAATTCAGCGCCCAAAGAGCCTCCAAGATGAGCCCTGATTAAATTCCCATAAAACCACAGATACCCGGCCCCTGGGAGGGCCGGGTGTCTGGATGGCCACCTGTCACCTCCAGAGCATGTATGTGGAGGTTCCAGGAAAGCCACCCTCACCTGTAGCCGGTATCAGTTCTGAAGGGTCTCTCTAGCCCTTTGCCTTGTGGCCTGAGACGCTTCACCAGCCGCTGCCCTGGGGCTAAGAAGGCAAACCCGTGTCATCCAATCACGGCCCAGCTTTCTCACACAGCACTTCAGTTACTCAAGAGCTGACCAGAGCCTCCCCAGAATCACTCGGCCTGGGGTGGCAGAGCCAGGCCGTGGTTTCTGGGCCTCCATCTAAAACTCCTGGCCCTGTGCATCAAAGACGGTGCCAATGACAGAAAAGGCCTATGAATGTGTGTCCAGCCATCCTGGCTTGTCGACAGAGCCTCCCCTCCCCCAGGCCTGCACCAGGCAATGTTGAATTTCTGGGAGGCTCCTGCACTTGGTTTGAACTGGATCCAGGTTCAATGCTTTCTGTGCCTCTGGCTAAGGGGTGTGGAGGCAGCCCCGCCCAGAAGTGGCCCTCTGTTAGGGAATCCTGTGGCTCATACATTCTGGGGAGGGGTCACTGTACAAGCCTACTGAGATGTGGTGTGGAAGGGACTTAGTGCTGAGGTCACAGGCTGAGGTCACCCTGCTGGCCAGCGGGAGGGGGAACGGTCTTTCCAAGGGCATTCACCAAGGGTTCCCCAGGTAGGAACCCACTTTACAGAAGGTCCCCAAAACTCATTCTCCCCCTTATTCCATGGTGACAAAGCTCCCAAATTTTAGCTGGGCACATGGCTGCCAGAATAGTGGCCATATTCCCAACTCTGCTGCAACTCAGTATGTGACTAAGTTCTGGCCAGTGATGTGTGGACAGAGCGCCATGTCGTAGCTTCCAGAGGTTTTCCTTGAAAGATAAAGAGGCCCGTTTCCCTTGGCTTCTTTTTCCGAGCCCCCTCTCCACCCTAACATCTAGGTGTGACAGCTGGAGTTTACACCACCCTGGACCAGGAGAGCCACACAACAGAACAAAGAGCCACAACAAACTAGGGTCCCCACTGCCACACACTGCACCAGGTGGCCTTCCTCCAGGTTTTGCATGAGAGAGAAGTGATGTTCCCTCTCATTTAAGCCACTGTTACTTCAGATCTCTGTTGTCACAACCACTTTAGCACTAACCAAATCCGTGAGCTACAGATGGATGGGTCTGAAGCAGTGAAAGGACCCTGCCTCCCCTCCAGGCTCTGAATGAGAAGAGGATGAGCTCTGGCAATGTGGAACTGAGATGGCAGTGGCCACAGAGAGGCCACCCATGTGCTCAGACAGGTGAGCCTGGGAGCTCCAGGCAGCAGGCCTCACCTGTCCTCCACAGCTGGTGCTCTGCTTGGCCCACCGGAGCATGAACCCCTGCTCTGAGTGCCCCACCTGTTATTCCTGGGAGACTGTCCCCCTGTGGCACAGCCCATCCTCGGTGCAGAGCTGGGAGCTGCAGTGATCTCCCTGCAGCTGTCTCCTGCTGCCGGGTCTGCTCTGCAGCCGCCCCGGCTCTCTGAGGCCTGGAGGGTGGTGACAACCAGAGGAGGTCTTCACCGAGCCCCTTCTTCCAACACTTCCAACACAAAAGCTGCGTCACTTGGACTGCTATAATTGTCTGAGGAACTTAAAGGGTAATTACGACCATTCGCAGCGCCCCAAACGGGGCTGTGTGCCTCCAGGAATAGCAGGAGTCGGGTGGAGGGGCGCCAGGGAAGCGCTTCCCAGAGAAGGCTCTCTGCATCTGTGTGGAGGAGCAGCCACGCCTCTGTGCGCACGGGAGGCGGGAGCCTGCAGAGACCAGGCAGCAGTGCTTCTGTACACACAGCCCCTGAGTGGGCAGGAAAAGGCTCCAGGAAGTCCCAGCCTCTGCCCACCCTCCTGGAAGAATACAGCCCTGCTCGGGGTGCACGATAAGAAAACTCCACGGTGCGGCAGTCACAGGCCACCCCGCAACAACTCCTGCTGGTCTAAGACTAAGCCTGCCTTTAGGGTTCAGTCAAGTGCTGGCCAGGCATGAAGGGGATGTCCCCCCGGGAGGCAGCTCTGGGACTGATGACACCTGGGTCTGAGGCTTCTTGGACCCAGCAGAATGGGGTCTGACTCTCTCCCCACCAGCAGTCGGGCACCAGTCCCTCATGCCTCTGGCTGAGCGTACGTCACCCTCACAACAGGATACAGGTCATGGCCATGAGAACCCTCTGGACTTGCCTCCAGGTCAGGCCCACACTCATACTCATCTGCCTAAAATGTATTCTCATCTCCTCACTCACACACATTCAGTGCTGCCCACGAACCAAGTCCCCAACTGCCCGAGCAGTTCCAAGTCCCCACGCTCTGACCAGATGGTCTGCGAGTCACACACAAGCCCACACACTGTAGCTCTCTCCCGGCTTTACTCACACCACTGCGGGTGTGGGAGGCCCAGGTGTCACCCTCAGCACTTGCTCACCAGGGCCAGCCCTGCCTCCTGTGCACACTGAGTCCAGCCCACTGCCGGTCCCCCGCTCCCCGAGTGAACACTTCCACTCCAGAACCAGGCTCACACTTGACCCCAGCCCTGATTTTTTACCCATGAAAACTGAGACAAGACTCCAAGATTCAATCCAGAGGCCTTGGCCCCCACGCCGTGACTGGAGCAGTGACAGCAGCTGCCATTCCTAGGGGACTCCACAGGCAGTGACCCATGTTAAGTGCTCGTCAGATGTCACAATTACCCTAACCCCAGACCCCCTGGATGAACCTCTTATTATCCACCCAGCTGAGGGCCTTGGCCAAGGCCACATGGCAGCAAGAGTCCAGATTCAGATGCAACCCCAGTCTGTGCCTGCAGACACCTGTGCTTTTTGCTCGGAAAAAGCCCTCTCAGTGCTGTCCTCCCGGCGGTGCCCTCCGCGCTCCCATCAGGATGCATCCCTCTTCTTGTCAGACATTGCATGTGGCTGTGGACCTGCAGCACCTCCCACTAATCAGGCCTTCTCATCAAGATCCTGCCCATCTCCTGTCCCTTCACACACAGCCGGCACCCAACACACACACCTCTGGGGAAGAGGTGGATTTCCTTCCCAGAACCAGAGTCTAGTCAAATCATCAGTACAGATCTTCCTTCTCACATGGGATTCTGCTGGACCCAGGGAAAGACTGTGAAGGGAAGGGGAGCAGACGTTGTCAGTGACCACTCCAGACCCAAGGAAAAAGGGATGCTGATGTGCAGAAAAAGCCTGCCCCTTGGAGCGCCCCCAGGAAGTCTTGCTCATGCTCTATACCATCTGATGAATGCCAGGGCCCCAGGAAAAGAGGCCTTGAGACCCCTCCCAAGACGCCCAGACCCAGCACCCAGCTCTTCTGCAGGGCACATTCCTTAGAGAATCCAGGATTCATCAAGTGCCCCCAAGCCAGGGTATGCAGTGCCTCCGTGCCAGGTGCTTGTTAGATCCAGGGCCCTCTGGCCATGACGTGAAAGACAAGCTGAGGGGTTAGGAGCGGGGCAGCCTGAGTCGGAGAAACCTGGCTGGATGCTGGCTCTGCTATTTACAGGCTGTGTGATCTTGGCACATCTGCTAACCTCAGCGTCTCCATTACTCTGTAAAACAGGGAGGATGCTGCTGGCACTGGAAGGGAGCACGTAAGAAGGAGTCTTAACCTTGCAGTCAGGCTGCCTCTGGTCCCACGAGCCAGACTCTACCCACTGGTCCCACAATCACATGAAACTGCCTGGGGCTAAGTCACCATCTAGGTCAGGGTTCAAGGAAGACCCTTTGGGCCACACTCGTGGTCTGGAGGGCAGGTACAGGGGTGCCTCTTCAGCCCCTAAGAGGAATCCTCGCATACCCTCAGGGCACAGGCAAAGCACTTCTTAAAATTAAACAAAATCTCTCAGCAGGGAATGCTTGGACCAGGCAAAGGGAACTTGGAGGTTACTGTTACCATGAATCTTTCCAAAAAGGCCCTTTACATAAACAAACACCTTGGAAAGGCAGCCAACTCCTCTGGGGCTGCCTGCCCCGGGCGGCAGGGAGGATGAGTCCTAAGGGATGCGAGCCTGCGGCTGGCGGGAGAAGCTCCCACTGCAAGAGGGAGGCTCACCCTGACCTTGAGAACAGAGCGTACCCCATGAGGTCCAGCGGCCACGTTATCCATCTCCCTGCACTGGATTAAGGGCCCTTCCGTTTCTGTTTGTCCCCTTTGCCCTGTGATGTAGTTCCACTCCCCCGCCTGTGCTGAACCCTTCTACTCACACTCCTGCTCGCTAACCACTGTGTCACTAGGACACTTCATCGCCACTCCATGGGTTCCAGACAACAAAACAAAACCATCTGGAAGTGGCTGGAGCCACTCTCTCCCCCAAAGAGCACCCTGGGGCTTGTATTCCTAACTCTGCTGGTGAAAGAGGGAGGAGAAGACCCTCCTGAGAATACGTGTCCCTGCAGAATTCAAGTGCTTCCTGTCCCAAGTGCTTAAAGAGGCCAGACTCCCTCTTCCCACCCCATGTGATGGCCACCTGTGACTGCAGAGTTGCGCTGCCTGCCACGGGTGCCAGGCCACTGTTGTCCATACCTTTCATGTAGGCCTCGATCTTCCGGATGAGCTCGTAGGACTTGGAGCGGTCAAGCAGGGTCCTGATGGCGGGAAGTGGGTCCAGGACAATGGTCTCAGGGTGGGCATCGATGTATTCCTGAAAGGAAACACGCCCCTTCCGGTTAGAGAGGGGAGGCTGACAAGCAAGGTTAGTGAGGGTGACAAGCAAGATTTCAACACAAGTGCCCACCCAGCACCCATTCTTCCCTTCTGCCTGCCCCACTGGCCCTGACTTCAGTCTGGGGCTTCCCGTGAGGGCTTCCACCAAGTTCCGTCCACCCACTCAGCTGCACCCAGACCACATGACCTGTCAGACCAATCAGCATGTTCTACCCCAGCCACTGGCTCAGGGGGAGGACCTGTGACCCAGGCCCGTCCAATCAGAGGCAGGCTCAGAGCCCACACTAGGAAGGCTGGGATGTGAACCCTCTGTCTTGGAGAAGTAGCAGCAGGGAGACCCGGCAGCTGGGCGCAGTTGCCCTGAGATATGACAGAGCCATAACTCAGAAATGGAGCCCAAACTGTGAAAACAGCAAGAAACGGAGAGCAACCAGGTTCTGGTCAGCAACTCTGACTCCTGGATAAAGCCTGAAACCAGCTCTCCACGTGCGCATTTCCTCAGTGAGATGGCCCAGCAACTTGCAGTGATAAGGACTCTGAGGCGGCCGTGGGAGAAGGTGACACGGCGAGTGGGTAGCACTCCCGGGAGGAGTCACTGGAACAAGCACACCCTGGAATGGCTGCCAGGCCCTCCAGTGCTCATTTCAACAAGTGCTTCTTCAGTACCTACTAGCTTCAAGGTGGATATGGGGCGCGAGGCACTGTGACAGTCTTTAGGGAAGTTATAGTCTCCTTCGGGAAGTAACACTAACTGCACATGGGGGACAAACTTATCCACAACAGACTCAACACAGGACACAGCAAATGCTTTTAGGAAAAGAACACAGGGATCTTGGCTCTGCCACCTGCCACCTCTGTGACTACTGGAGCCCCAAGCCACATCGTTGGCCAGAGCAATTTGTCAGGCAACACAGTAAATGAGACTATCCCTCTGACTCAAAAATACTATGATTCTAGGGTAAAGATACAGGATGCTGGAGTACCAAGAGAGGGACTCAGAGAAGGCTTGGTGTAAGGGAAGCCATTCACTAGCTGTTGCTATTGCAAGTCAAACTGTGTCCCCCGCAACAGGTCCAGTTCAACTCCTAACCCCCAGTCCCTGTCAATGTGACTTAGAAATAGTGACTCTACAGATGTAATCAACTTAAGATGAATTGGGGTGGGTTAGGATGGGCCCACTGGATTAGGATGGACCCTAATCCATTGACTGGAATCCTTCAGATAAGGAAAATTTGGACACAGACACACAGGGAGGCCATGTGAAGATGGAAACAGTGGCTGAAGTCACACAGCTACAAGGCAGGGATTGCCAAGGACTGCTAGCAACTACCCAAAGCTAGGAGAGGGGCAAAGAACAGATTCCCTCTCAGCACCTTCAAAAGGAACCCATCCTGCAAACACCTGGGTTTTAGACTTCGAGCCTCCTTCACTGTGAGAAAACAAACTTCCGTTGTTCAAGCCATTCAGTTTATGGTACTTTGTTACAGTGGCCCCAGGGAATGAATGCACGAGCTTTTTCACTGCCTCCCGCCCCCTTGCTGACCAGTCTATAAGATCAGTCTGTGAGGTCAGCAAAGGCCAGGAAAAACACCACAATGCTTCTTTTCTAGTAAGCCTTATCAACAAAAAAGAAAGCTCCAACTGGAATTATTCTTTTTTTCAGTGAACTTATTTTGGTTCCTAGTAATGATTTTAAAGAGCCCTCCACACAAAAGTCAGAGATTCCTATCTACTTCTCTGAAATCTGCTTCCTCTCCCCTTGCATTTCATACCAAAGTATCTGGTTATGGGCTCTTTTGTGCCCTTTTCTCTGAATGTTTAAATAAAAACATCTCTGTCCCTAATGGGTAGCCAGTACATGCACATGGGGAGGCCGTCTCCCATCTTCACACCCACGGACAACACGGAGATGGCACAGTCCCACCCCACCTCCCTGCACATGCTCCACAGACCTCAATGCATGACAGAAGCCCCGTTGGTCTCCCTCCTGAGGGACACGACAATCAGCACATCAGCTCAGCGATATGACCTGCTCACAGAGAACAAGCCTGTCAGCTGACATGGGCCAGCCCAGGTTTGCCCCACATTTGCCACCCACAGGGTCTGTGGGGACAGGCTGGGAGGTGTCCTTGAGGAAGGTTCACCCAGGGCCGTCCTCAGGTCAGAGTGCCATGCCCAGAGATGGGATTCTCCTGCAGCCTCTCACCCCTCGTTGTGGGCTCCCCATCAGCAACCATCCCTGCTGGCACCAGGGATGGTATTTCATCCAGACCCCGGCTGCCACAAGAGCATGTCACTCATGAGACACAAGATTTACACCTATGCATGAAATCATATTAACAGTCTCGTGTGAAAAGTTTACCTACTCGGCAAACTTCGTATTGACGGCGCTCTAGGCACTGTGCAGGGTGCAGCAGACATGCAGATGGATGAAAGCCTTCGAGGCTTCTCTCTACTGGATCTGCAATCCTGGCTGACGAATTCATGCTCGGATTATGAGCTGAAAGCACTGAACTGCCATCTCCTCCCTGACTCCAGCACACAGGAAGCAGCCTGGTATGGAGGGAACAGTAAGGGGCGGGGAGTCCCCAGACTCCCTCTGTTATGCCCCCCTGTGTCACCTTGGGTGCGCCACTTGGCTTCTCTGGGTCTTGCTTTCCTCATCTGTGACTTGACAGTCTAACTGCAGAAAACTGAGGATGAGTATTTACAGAGACTGACTTTTTTAGGCCACACACGGGGGCTGTTCTAGAATAGGACAAACAGCCACTTGCTAGAGGCATTACAGGTAATGCCAGGGACACACACATACTCACTACATTCCTTCAAAGAGAAAGCAGTATCTGAGACATTCACGTCAGTGGGCTGGCCTCAGTCTCCCCCAACAACTGAGTCATGTAAAGCACAGGCTCACCCCACCCCTTCCTCCCCATCAAAAACCCACCCCCCGTCTCGAGAACAGTATCTGCATCAGTGCTGGTTCTGCTTCCATTTTTATGCATCAGGGCAGTGACCTTTTAAAGAGAACTCAGAATCATTACGACATGAATTTAAGCCAAACTCCTAAGGGAAATAAGTCAGAAGAGACCAAAGGAGAAAATATCTGAAAAACAGACGCCAAAAAGCTTTTGACCTGGGATAAAAGCATCACTATTAACAGAGGAGTTATTCCTAAACACGATCTCTGCTGGGACAAGGACAGAGGGCAAAGAGAGTTTTTTCCAATCACCCTGCTAACCACAAGTGAAGTTTATTCCAAGCTTTTCATCTTATCTATTGTATCACAGGTTTGTGCATTTTTCACAAGTCTGTTAGAATTACCAAACTGCTAGAAGGGTGAGTACCCTGCACCCTTTTATCACTGCTCAGAGGACGAACAGCCCAAACTGTCTCCATGGCAAATGGTAAACACATGTTCCTTTAGAGGTCCAGCCACAGAACACCTAGAAAGGGGTCCTGGAAGTTAAGAAGGGTTGGCGGGGGGTGGGGAGGGTGGTTTAAGCAGACTTCAAGAGGAAAAAGCAAGAGGAAATATACAGCCCTGGTGACCCAGCAGGCCAGGAGAAGGCCTAGAGAATGCCAACCGTAGAGGGGATAAAGGAGCAGAGACCAGTCAGATGCCCCACCAGGCCCATGGGATGATGATGCCAAGAGGGGCAGCAGGCCCTCTCTGCTGGGCTGGGGGTAGTCAAGGTTTCCCCACTAAGAATCTGAGCCAAATCAGAGCACGAAGGTGAACAACAAAGATACCGTTCTGTTTATAGACAGAAAATAAGCAGGGAGTGAGATACAAGGATTTGTTCTCATCTAACAGAAAATGCAGGACGAAGTCTCAAGTTCAAATCCTGTCTCTGCCACTTAGTTTATGCCTAAGAAAGAGAAACTGCAGTTAATCTTTGAGATTGTTTTCTTCTGTGTGAAATGTGCATTTTGAATAAAACCTACCTCAAGGAGCTGCTATGGGTAACAAGGAGATCAGAGAAGTGAAAAGAATTAGTAGATATAAAAACAAAAAGGATCCTCATGACTCTCAGGGCCAAACCTGACCCAAGGTCTCCGAGCTCATCCTGCCCTATCCCACCTGGCAGACCAAAGGCACGCCAGCTCTGCACTTGGGACGAGCAACTGGGCTGTTCCAGGCCCAGACCAACCCTGCTGCTGAGGCTAGAGCTCAACACAGTCCCGGCCCCACAGCACCAAGGCTCCAGCGTGCGCCCTCTGCAGACAGCTCAGGTCCTGGCCACCCACTGGACCAGCTGCAGCCAGCCAGCCCGCTCCTTATGGGGAGGCAGGAGAGGCACCCACCCACACTTCCCACTCACCCAAAACACTGCAGCTCCCTTTTTAAAAGTGGCAATTCAGTTTTTAAGAGATGCATACTGAAATGATTTACAGATTGAGTATAATGTCTGGGTTCGTTTCAAAATACCCAGGCTCAGGGAGTGTGGAGAGAAGTAGGTGAGTGTAGGTAGGTAGGGGCAAGAATGGCTGTAGGTTGCTAACTCGTGAAGCTGGGTGATGGTGCCTGGAGTGCGCTGAAGCATTCTCTCAAGTATTTCTAACTTTTCTGTAACAGGAAGATCAGGGAAATGGGGAGAGTGGAGCTAAGTAACCAGGTCCCCCCTTCCTTCAACCCCATGCACCTCTAGCTGCACCGGAACAGTTCAGACAGCCACAGTCTCCTTCAGGAAGGAGCAAGAGGCAGCCGCCCGGATGAGAAACCCAATGAGAGATCAATCACGGTAAAGATGATGATAAATACAGGTAACCATCATTAATAATGATTTTTAAATAAGCGGTTACCACTTACCCAGGACTGGCTATATGTATATCACTGGAAAAAAAATGGTTTTCAAGCACCATTTTTTTTTTTTAGGAGAGCAAGGTACAGGCTTTTATTTAGAAATAAAGTGAGAGAATAGAGCTCCTGGCTCATGCCAGGAGGGGACAAGAGAGCCCTCAAGCACCATTTTTAAA